CTGGAGAACTGTAGCAAAATAAATTCCCTTAAACAGGAGATTGTGCTGCTGTTTTCATCTTCATTTTCAACAGGTCTTGAGCATCTCATGACACACAGTGTGGTTCTTGGGGTTGTGTAGGGGATCACACAGACCCCGAACCTTCTCTAGATAACTTGTGCATTGAGACAAGCACTGGGGCAGCAAAAATTAAATAGGCACTTAAAATGAATTTTTACATAGTAAATGAGAGAAGTAACTTGGACCCAGAACCAGGAAGAAGTAGAGAGAGGTTAAATGGGAACAGAGGAAGAGAGCAAAGGGAGGTGAGTCCAAACTTCAAAAGACAGGGAGTAAAAAAGGGCATTGTGCTAAGTGAAATAAGCCAGTGATACAAGAACAAATACTGCATGATTCTACTAATATGAGGGAGGCATCTAAGCTAGTCTAACTCATAAAAACTAAAAAAAAAAATTATTATGGAGATGAAATTTCATTAAATTGCCCAGGCTGGTCTCGAACCCCTGGGCTCAGGCTATCCTTTCCCCTCTGCCTCTCAAACTGCTGGGATTACCAGCAATGGCCACCATGCCTGTCCTCCCCAGAATTTATTATTCTAAGTAGTTGTTTTAAAGTCTTAGACCAAAGGAGTATCAATTGAAATAGACTAAATAAAGGTTAAATTGAGGATTTTTTTTTTTTTTTGAGTTGGAGTCTCCCTATATCACATAGGCTGAAGTGCAGTGGCTCGCTCAGGTGATCCCTCTGCCTCCAAGTAGCTGAAACCACAGGCATGCGCCACCACGCCTGGCTAGTTTTTTTTATTTATTGTAGAGATGAGGTCTCACCAAGTTGCCCAGGCTGGTCTAGAATTCCTGGACTCAGACAATCATTTTACCTCTGCCTTCCAAAGTGTTGGGATTATAAGCGTGAGCCTCTGCACCTGGCCGAGAATATTTCTGCAGCAGAATTTTATGTATTTGTTAAGAGGTGAAAGAAGGAAGTCATGATAGAATCCAAATTTCTAGTTTAAAAAACTGGTCTGATGACGACATTAATCAAAAGCACAGAGAACCAAAAAGCTTGCGGTTTGTTTTTTGTTTTTTTAAGTTGGAGTTTCCCTCTATCGCCCAGGCTGGAGTGCAGTGGCACGCTCATGGCCATCCCAGTGTCGACCTGCTGGGCTCCAGTGATCCTTCCGCCTCAGCCTTCCAAGTAGCTGAAACTACAGGTGCGCTACCACCCCCGGCTAATTTTTGATTTATTGTAGAAACAAGGTCTTACCAAGTTGCCTGGGCTAGTCTCGAACTCATGAATCAACAGGCTCAGGTAATCCACTCGCTTCAGCTTCCTAAAGTGCTGGAATTACGCGCAGAGCCACCGAGCCCGACTGAAGTTTGCAGTTTAACATAGTGTCTGGTTAGATGCCCTTGATGCAGCTTCCTCGATCTCCTACCAGAATATCCATGAAGGTGCAAAAAGTGTCAACAAAAATGGCTAGGAACTAGTAAGATAGGTGTCTGCCTTAATGATTAGGGCAGAACTTAGATAAACGTACCCTGGCTTCACCTCCTGGAAACAGGAATGCTTGGAGAAAGGTAATGAGTTATTACCTATATCCCATTGTCGCTTCCCTGGCTTTGCCCAGACCAACTGGGGACCAGGCAGCTCTCTGCAGAGCATCACCTGCAAGTAGAATGGTATCTCTTTTCTTACTTTATTTAGCCTAATTTTTCTCTATCTGTTTTAGGATACCAGGTTCCCCTTGGGTACTTGGTATTGATGGCATTACATTACAGGAGGCATGGTCCACACAAGTAGAGTACTATAGGCTAAAGCATAGAAGGGAGATGGGACATGCCAGAAGCCCTTCTTTGGTATTTTATTAGTTCAGAGAATTAGTGAGAAAGGGAGAGCTAAGATGCAGCTAGATCAGGGCTGCAGTGGGTAAATATCTCCAAGAAACTGGGAGTTAAATTGGGAGTGTATCAGCCTGTCTCCTTCTTGTAGATATATGGGGCCTTTTATGCATCACAAAAATGAATTGAAAGAACCATATTGTTGCCTGTTAACAAATGAGAAATTAAACTCTAACATACCATACAGGGCCTGTGAGTGAACTCAGCTAATTAAGGATATAAGAGGAGGCCAGGCGCAGTGGCTGACACCTATAATCCCAGCACTTTGGGAGACTGAAGTGAGAGGATTACCTGAGCTCACAGGTTCAAGACCAACCTGGGCAACTTGGTGAGCCCTCATTTCTACAATAAATCAAAAAACTAGCCGGGCATGGTGGCGCATGCCTATAGCTGCGGCGGAAGGATTGCCTGACCCCAGCAAGTCGGGGCTGCAGTGACTGTGAATGTGCCACTGCTCTCCAGCCTAGACAATAAAGTGAGACTCCATATAAGAGGAGTGAAAACTAGAAAGATCCAGTAGAAAATGCTTGGTAAGGGCCAGGCTCAGTGGCTAAGCCTGTAATCCCAGCACTTTGGGAGGCTGAGGTAAGTGGATTGCCTGAGCCCATGGGTTCGAGACCTGCCCTGGGCAACTTGGCGAGACCCCCATCTCTACAATAAAATCAAA